CCCGGTAGCTAATGAGACTCCCGTGGGCACCTCCCTGACCCCGGAGAAGGAGGGTGGCCACTTACCACATTCGCCTTCTTCTCGGCATTGGTTTGCTTGACCCAGCGCAGCTGTGTCAGGGGGAGTGCGGTCGAGATGGCGTGGGACAGCGACAGCTTGTTGTTGTTGCATGTGGCCCCCTGAAGCTTCAACCCTGCAAGGAAGAGGCCAGAGCCCAGTCTGGGGTGAACGCACAGCTGCATGGGGCCCTGACAGGCTGAGAAACTGGGCAGCTCTAGAGGGTCACCAGCTGGTCACTGGAAACACGTTCATTTTGCAACAATCATCTAGGACCACCAGAGCCACCCGTGGGTAGTCAGGTTGCTGAGCAGGAGGCCCGGGTGCAGGAGGGTGACCTTCAGAGAAGAATCAAGCCAGAGTGGCCGAGTCCGAGTCTTTTCTGTGAGACTCAACTCACCTGTGACCCCAAAGCTGCAGGCATCGAGGGCAGCACTCTGAGAGGTGGTAACATTGACTTCCAGGCAGAGCTCCTCCAGGGACCAGCTGTTGGCCTGGGCCACGTACTGCCTGGTGGCGGTGATGTATGCCTCGGGCACAAACAGGCCACCCAGGCACACATGGATGTTCTGCAGGAAGAAGCAGCGCCCACCGGGGAGGAGCTTGGGTCAGTCTTGGGCCCTGTGCTTGGCCCCAGAGCTTTCAAAGGACCATGCAGCTCCACCCAAGCCTGGGACAGCTGAACCCCCCACCCGCTTTTCAAAAACGTCTTTTGCCACCTTTAGCTCCTTGGCACCGCCAGATGCGGCAGCCAGTGAGATGTTCTGCAGCTGTTTGATCCTCTCGCTGAAGTCGGACACCCACTGGATGACGGTCATGCCGGCAGGCACTGTGTAGTGCGACCAGCTCCGAGGCAAGATCCCTGCAAGCAAGGCACAGAGACCCCAGGGCTTGGTGTCTGTTCTGATGATGCCCCTGGTATAAACGGGGATGAGCCTACAGGTGCTCCCATGCCCCAAGCTGCACCCACACACACGAAGCCAATGACACCTTGGCCACCTCTCTTCCTGCTGCATCTCTGCCCCTAAAAGCTGCCTA